TAATTACGTCTAATCGTTGCGCCTAAGCAAGATGCTGTCACTGTTAAAAAATACCATTGCATTGCCTTAACGGAGCTAATCATTAATATCGTAGCTGCATCCTCAAGTGTTTATCATGTCAACACCAAAATTTCCTTTGAAGGAAAGTGTAGTATCTTGTATGTATTGCAATATATATGTGTATATATATATATATATATGATAAAATTGATTAACTTTTGTAAAAATTACATGTTAATATATTATTTCAGCCAAGCAGCATGAATTTATCGTGCCAAAAAAGTGTGTCAAGACACCAAACGATCTAGCCCTTTGGCAAAGATCAGAAGCTTATTATGTAAGAATTTTCACAGTTTATTTTTCATTGGAACTTTATTTTAATTAGTATATGATTATATGATAAGATATTCCATATGTATCACAGAAAAAACATAAAATTATTGTACATTTACTAGTCAATGTGTATTTTTGTAAAATTTTAACAAAAGCATCAATTAAATATAAGAATGCCTAATATTTCTAGTAAATTATTAATTTACTAAATAATGCATTTGCTGGAACACAATCATAATATATTACAAATTATTTGTTACAACAAAAATATATACTTTAGTAAATGTACTTATATATTAACTAAATTTTATGCTTTTACTGTGACATGTTTAGTATGTATATATTTGTATAAATAAAAAATAATATTATTTAAATATATTTTTATAAAATATTATTTGTAGGAATATCTAGGATTTATTTTGACGTTAAACAGTGCTGTTCAAGGGACTGCTTTGGACGCACAATGTCCACAGTCACCTGTAATAAACAATGTTGTACAGATGTTGAATAGATTTGATGAATGGATAACAGAAATTCCACCTACCGAACAACCACAGCGATTTGGCAACAAGTCATTTCGCACCTGGCATGAGAGACTACAGCAGGTATGTTATTTATAACAGTGTTATATTTAAAAATGTAAATTACTCTTAAGGTATTGAAAAATTGTAAGATATTTAATTTATGATTACTCTTATTACAGAATGCTGCAGAAGAATTGAAGCAAGTTTTGCCAGAAGATATATATCGTGCGATCCCAGAGATAGTGCAGTATTTATATGAAAGTTTTGGGAATCCAACTCGCATCGACTATGGAACAGGCCACGAAATGGCTTTCCTTATGTTCCTCTGCTGTATGTTCAAGATAGGTGCATTTGAAGAAAATGATAAGATTGCTGTTGTAGTAAAAGTGTTTAATAGGTACTTTAATTTGATTTAATATATTACATGATCTCTTATTATCTTCCCAAATTATTTAGTTATTTAAATCGCGTTTTTCTCGGCTTAGGTATTTGGAATTGGTGCGTAGGCTTCAGCTGATATACCGTATGGAGCCAGCGGGTAGTCATGGTGTTTGGAGTTTGGATGATTATCAATTTGTGCCCTTCATATGGGGAAGTGCTCAACTCATTGGTATTAATTTTTATATATATTTTTCAATATATTCTTTAGCGATAATATAATATAGTAATTAAAAAATTTCTTCTGTTTCTAAAATTATATAATTTAATATTTTAGGACATCCTCGGATAGAACCACGTCATTTTGTAGATCAAGGTATTGTGGAAGCTTACAGCAAAAAATACATGTTTCTTGGCTGCATTGAATTTATCTCAAAGGTATATAAAGATATTTATATAAAGATTTTGTGTTTTTTTAGTGTGATTTAACTTACTTAAGATTAAGGAACTTACATTTTGATAATAATTATGTTTTATTAGGTGAAAATAGGACCTTTTGCCGAGCACTCAAATCAGTTATGGAATGTTAGTGCAGTGTCCTCATGGTCGAAAGTGAACAGTGGTCTTATAAAAATGTATCAGGCTGAGGTAATTATAGTCGATGGAAGTTAGAAAAAAGAATTGTTAACTCTATCGTATCTGTTTGCTAGGTATTGGCGAAGTTTCCAGTTATTCAACACGTTTTCTTTGGTTCTCTGCTACCATTGACACCAATGGTCCCGAAATGTTCTAAACCGACCGTTACTCCAAATTACAAAAAAACTGTTGATGACAATGAGCCACCGCCACCAGCGGTGCCACAATGAAAATTACATTTGTAATAAATATTGTTACTCTTGAACTACTTTATCACATTTCCAAGTATTTATTATAAAATATTACATTGCCCTCTTCTTTTCACTCCTTTCATTTTATGATATTTTTATTTTAGATGCATTTTCTAGCATGTTAGAGATTTATATTATATTTATTACAAAACACAGTATCTTCATTGTTGAGAAATGTAAAAAAATAAACAATGCAAATTTGTTTAGATGACATATACAAAATTATACATTATTTATGATTCTGTAATCGTTGATTTTCTGAATAAAAATAATAGATTTACATCTCACAGAAATCTGAAGTCCTATGAAAAACGACGTGTTTTATTTCATTATAAATATTGATTTTTATAAAATCGCGCTAATATTTTTAGCTTATGAGATGCTTACTATTTTGATGACGTACAAAGTCTTGCATGCTTCTGACCGACGTTTGTCTCCATGGGAACCGGAAAAACAGTGTTGCTACCCACTGTATACTTAACCTCAAACATCTTATACGAAAAGGTTTGTGTACAAACATATTACAAGAACTTATAAAGTAGGCGTCATATAATTTTAAGAAGAGGTTTTTCTTTTTCTTTTCTTTTTTCAAAATGGATTTCCGATCCACTAAGGTGGGTCACAGTATCATAAGTTGAAAACAGACCAAAAAGTCCAGTTGATCCTATGTCCTGCCTGTCCATCTGTCTAAGGAAAGATTGACTGGTTGAAGACATAAAATCCTACCAACCGGTGGAAGTAACTTAAAAAATTAACCGAATTTACAAAGATATTAATGCTATTGTTACAGAGTGACAAATATCGGGGAGATTCGTGAAAGTTACACATAATTTGCCATGATTAGGATATCAATTTTTATGTTATTTTTGACAAACTTTTACACCACACTTTGCCAGGATGTTGAGATTGATGCAAATGGCTACATTGTTTACTGTCCCTGCATGGGTAAAATCTTGATTTTTATCACATCTATGATATCATCAAACAAGTTAATAATAATCTTTGTTATCCTTATTCCAGGCCGCTTCGGTAACCAGGCAGATCATTTTCTAGGAGTCCTCGGATTTGCCCAGGCTTTAAATCGTACTCTTGTATTACCGCCATGGGTTGAATATCACACTGGAGAGACAAGATCTGTAAGCATAAGGCTTACCCTGGTGACAATTTTTCTTATAATTTTTATATGAATTGGAACAATTTTTAGAAATACTCAGAAATATTCGGAAAGTTTACATCTCAGAATTTTTCATACATGTGAATTCTGAAATATTCTGATAGATTTCTCATCCCATAATTAAAAAAAATATTTTTTAATTTTTTTAGATTTTATAACGTTTCATCAGAAATTATTCTTACAAAAAATCTTAGAAATCTTATGATATTTCATAATTAACATATATGGAAAATTCTGAGAAAAGATGTAGATTAGAGAGGTGTTCTAATTCGTATAAAAAATGTGAGAAGGTTATAAAATTATATAGAAATTCTGAAAAATTATATGAAAAATTCTGAGAAAAATTTTTACTAGGGTATGTGTAATATTATTCGTAAATTTTATAACAGTATCAAATATCTAATTTTATTCTAGGTGCAAGTACCATTTAATACTTATTTTAATGTTTCTCACGTACAAAGTTGCCACAGAGCAATATTAATGGAAGATTTTATGAAGGATATTGCGCCAAAGATATGGCCACCTGAAAAAAGAACATGTAAGTTCTAATTCTAATTCTTTTGAAGAAGCAAAATATTTTAATGTTAATTCTTTTGAAAGAAATATGAATTCTTTATTCTTTCCCAGCTTTCTGTTACGAAGCCCGTGTAGGTAGCAATGGAACATCTTGCAACGCGAAACAAGGAAATCCATTTGGTCCCTTCTGGGACACATATAGCATAGATTTCGTTAAATCAGAATTTTACAAACCACTCCATTATCATGACGTATATTATACCCAGACGAAACAACAGTGGAATCAGTATTATCCAGCCGAAACTTGGCCGGTATTAGCGTTCACGGGTGCACCCGCCAGTTTCCCAGTCCAACCTGTGAACAAGCCTTTGCAGAAATGTCTCAATTGGAATAACGATATCCTGAATAAAGCGAAGGCGTTTATAAAGAAAACATTGCCGAGGGGCGCGTTTGTTGGCATACATTTGCGAAATGGGATCGATTGGGTATGTGGCATGTGGTATTCATATTTTTATACAGAGAATATACTATTAATATCCTACAGGGAATACTGATCTCCTATTTATTATATTCGCTTTTCAGGAACGCGCCTGCGAACATATACCATCTGCGCCAGATCTTTTTGCTGCTCCTCAGTGTCTCGGTTATCAAAACGAACGTGGCAAAGCAACCCTCTCAATGTGCTTACCGTCGTTTGATGTGATAATAACTCAGCTGAAGCGTGTTATTCGCAATGGCAAAAATATCAAGTCTGTGTTTGTAGCGTCTGACAATGATTACATGTTGGACAGATTCGGAGAAGCTTTGTCGCGTATGGAGGTAAATTCGTTTATTACTATCATGTCATCAATTAATGCTAATGTTATAATTTCTGCGTAGATATCTGTGTTCCGACAAGAACCACCGGTATCCTCTCATTTGGATCTGGCCATTCTCGGAAGATCCAACTACTTCATAGGAAATTGCATTTCTTCTTTCACCGCTTTTGTGGCCAGAGAAAGAGAGGTCAGGGGATATCCTACGTTCTTCTGGGGTTACCCTCCCAAAACCAGAACAGAACTGTGATATTATATTGTGTAACATAATACTTGCCAAGTGCGCAATCATCAGTTTTTTGATAATTTTTATATTTATATATTATTGTATTAAGTATTTTCATGATGAGATTAACGTTATATGTATGTTTATTATGATAAAATACAATTGTGGCATTTACAGAGTAGACCAAGCCATACTATATAAAGTGTTTTCGATCTTCAGAATATATTTCGCAATAAAAAAAGTTTATGCCGAAGCAAATTTGTTTGACTCGAGCATCTCGTTTTTTGCTATCGTATATAATATAAAAATATCAAACTCTTTTTTCCGTCGCACAAAAATTGCGAACATACAATTTTATTCGCTTCCTATGTCTCGCATATCGCACAATGTCTGCTGTAAAACACAAGCGAAATCTCTCGTATTAGTCTCGTTGCACGATTTAAACGACGAACAGGCAAATAGAATATCCTTCGGTCGCGGATTATAGCAGCAACCATAACCATCGGGTACAACCGGTCCATAGCACATAAAAGATGCTGACTTATATGGCACCTTTAAATTACAAAAGTATATTGATTAAGAAATACGCTTATCTTTTTGTTAAAATATTTTCACGTTACTGTTTTACCAAAAATTTTTTTTGAAAGCCAACTTTGAATTACCTGACTTGATGTTAAATTGAAATATGTACTTCTGGTGTAACCAACGTCTTTATACAATTCTGGGAGCTCCATTCCTTCGCTTTTCGCTATCATTTTTAAACCAAATAAATGCCGATCGACGCCTTGACCCGTCGCAGCCTATTTTAATGTTTTTTTAAAACTAAATTAAGTTAAAAGTTAATGGCTTATAAAATTAATAAAATTAAGTTAAAAGTTGAAGAAATAAAGAATGAATTTAATAAAAGTTAAGTTAAGATCGAATTAACTTAAGTTTAAAAAAAAGTTAATTTTGAAAAAAATTATTTTTGAGATCAAAATTTCCTAATTTTTCTCTCTCTCTTAAAATGAGATTACTTTAAATAACACTTAAAAATATAGATTATTAGGTAAATTTAATTTTATAGTCACATGTAAGTTACTTATATATAATAACAGTCACACCATATAAGACGTTTTAGAAAAAATCTTACGAAAGAGAAGGGTATATGTTTGCATTATTTTTCTTTCTTTAACCATTTTCTAACTTTCTTTAATTTCTGAAACGACTGCTTATGCATGTCTACGACTACATCGACTAGATATTTGTTACAAAAAATATACGTAAAAATTTAGAAAATGGGTGGATATGCATACTGTTCTACAACAATTCTTCATCTAAGGCTCATTTCATATTTATGTTGCTGAAATATAACGTTTATGATACCTAAAATTAGTGTGATTTAAATATAAGCGGGAATTAATAAAACCTAGCGAGTCAATAAAATGCCGTATGGTGTAGCTCTTATTATAGATCTTTCATCATAAAATCATTGAACTTTTTCTAAATTAATTCTCTAATGTTTGATTTTAAAAGAAAAAAAATATTAGCATTAAGAGATAAAAAAATTTTTAATTAAAAAAAAGTTAATAAATTAAAGTTTACAAGCAAAAGTTAATAAATTAAAGTTTACAACCAAATTAAGTTAAAAATCAATGCATTTAAAATTAACTAAGTTAAGTTAAAAGTTATTAACTTTTTAACTTTTTTTTTAACTTTTAACACGTTTTATGTAGTTACTACCCAACCCTGATTATTCGGATACTACACATAATGCCTGGCCAATATGTACAATGCTCGATTAATGTTATTCAGGCCCAAAGTATTCAAATTTCTCATAACATATACATTATATATTATGAAGATAATAATTAAAGAGACGTATTATAATTAAAGTAGACATATATCTCACTTGTGCGGCGTATTCTTTATGAGCATTTATAGCTCTAATCATCATTTCCTTCTTTTGTTGTTTGCTCTTGCCTTCTTCAGGAAGCATTACTTTTGCGAACTCGACCGACTCGGTGCTGGTCGACCTGATACACTCGGTTCTGGCATTAATAAATCTTCGTAATGCCGCGCTTTCGTAATGAGCTGGTGCCTTCCTTTGTAAATTATAGAAAGTCACTTGCATCGCGATCTGAATAAAACTGTCGGGACTCAATTTAATTGCTTTTATAGCGTCTGCGCCGAATTTATCGAATGTAAAACATTCCATATCTATGTCGTCTGAGAGTCTAAAAAATCACAAATATTATACATCAAACAGTACTAGCGTAATTATAATCATAAAGGGATAATCAACCTACTTATCTACCGTATCAGTAGCTATTTCGATTGCACAGTCTATAGCGTCGTTAGTTTCAAACTTCAAAAGTTCTGGTCTAGGGAAATCCGCAGACTTTCCGTTCCTTGCGCTATTTTCTCTTGCCGCGCTGAAAATAGATTGAAATTATTATTTGCTTTTATTAAAATAACATTTTATGGGGCACAATTATTATTTACATATATTTTAATACATAATCGTGAAGGACAGCAACTGGAACTCCTTCACATGGACTGTGTTCGTATTCCATACCAATGTAACCATCAGTGGATATTATATACTGTAAAGATATATATGTCCCTTGTTTATCTCATCAAAAAAGATACTATGTTAAATATTTGGTTTATCTAAAACATTTATTCATAATAAATGTTAATCAGATAGTTTACCTGTACAGTTTTGTCATGCCATCTGTTTCCAGCGTTTACGTAGCTACTATAGCCTGTCATAGATTGAACTGCTCTAACTGAAGCATTGTTCTTTTCCTTAAAAGCATCTTTAGGTAAATCCTTATCCAGACACAATATAAACAAGGAACTTTCTATATCCTTGATTATATTCTTATTGTTACCCAGTTCTGAAAATAATAATGATGATTTGAGATTAAAAATTATACAAAAAATTGTACAATAAACACAAATTGTATAAAGGTAAAGAAAAACAAAAAACAAGGTAAAACTGAAACAAACCTAAAAGTAAGCTGTAATCTTTTGCCCAAGCATCTCTGTCATTTCCAGTTAAAATTCCTATAGACTTTCCTTGAGTACTTGAGCGATCTGCGATATCTTTTACAGCAGCTACGAGCTTGCCCTCGCTTAAAATGCCGTCTTTATCAACAACACAAAGTTTAAAGAACTGTAATACAGATAGAATATATCCAGCTATATTGTTCCATTATACTGATTATACTTACATTATTATTGCTTATGATTATTATGTGTTTGGCCTCGTCTGTATGTAACAATTTGTCGACTACTTCGTTAGGCCGCCTGTGGGTGCCAAGAATCATGCCGTAAGGCTGCATATCAAGTGGATCATTGCGAGCCATTTCTTGTTTAATCTTTCCACTACAATATTATTGTCAGTGAATACCACAAGGAGCAAAAATTTTCATAAACTACGTAAAACTTACCTCTTAACCATCTCATTATAATTACACACTGCAGCAACGAGACGTGCTGCATACACATACATCTCATCTGGTCGATGAAAAGTAACCGGAGGCCCAACAGTTCCAGGACTGGAATGCACGATCACAGGCAAACGGTATCCTAAATATGCAACTTCTAGCCACCATTCTTTCATCTAAAATAAGTAGATGCTAATTTGTATAATTTATCTAATATTAATTTTAAAAAGTATAGATATACAAGTACCCAGTTATCAGTGTTCTGATATCTGTCCAATAATTTGGCATGTAAACGAGGTCCTGCGCCTGTGTGGATTATAAATTCACCAACAATCCTCTCTGTATTTTTATATTCATTGTCAGTCAATAATGGCTTTAAGGATCTATAATTAATAAATTATAATAACGATACTTGAAGATAAAAAGGTATATAGACATGTACCTCAGGTAACGTTCTGCAGTTTGCTTGAGATCGGGAACAGGCTGTTTTGGGATTGGTTGCTGATTTAGGTTTAATGTTGTTATAGATGCTCCATGAAGAATAGACGGTGTCTTCCGCAATCCATTGTAGACCTGTTGATTCAATCAATTCTATCAAAGAGATTTTACTTTTTTTTCTGTAAAAAATACATACATGTATGCACTTACTGTATACTTCGATACATTGGAGAGTACTTTGTACATAGCTGGTTTCTCTAAAGAACTCGAGCCTAATCTTGCTGTACTGCTAAAGAACAAATATTAACAGATATTGACATTTCAAAGATAAGCAAATGTAATTATGAAATAAACGCGTTATCATGTAGGAAGTATTCAATGGAAATTACTGTTAAGTTACGCATCACACTCTGCTATCAAGTTTTCAAAATATCTCAGCTGTCATCTGTCACACTCATACATGTATATTAGATGCGTAAGCTCGTATATACACACACATACATACATGTGGCTTGGCTAAATCAGTGCACCAAGATAAATGACTTGCGTGATGACAGCAATGACAGTTCTGTATTACCATGAGGCTATATTGCTATAAATTGTCACCAATTATGTCATGGATGATGGACATTGGACCGGCCAATTACAATATAATTGAAATACGCTTAGTCATATCATGTATATATTATCTGAGGAGCACATTTAGGATTATTTTAACAATTAGTACATACGCGTCCATATGGTGAAAGTTCTTTCTTGTAAGTGAAAGGAGTAAATGTTGTACAGACCAGTCAGTGGTCAAAGCTCGATTGACAGTATGTCTCTCTTATCTTCGCGTGTATATATGTATACAAGTATGTAAATTCTTCTAGTCGTGTATTCGATAAAAAAACGTCTGAAGTGGACAAGTTATCCAAGCTGCAGAACAACAAGTCATTATATGATATTAACTCTCATACATAGGTTTTTCGTGTCCATGCATTAAAAATAATCATTTTTGTACTTTAATAAAATAAAAAACTGCTTTTTTCTTCAAAAATCAAAGTTACAATTTTTATATCAAAACTGAATTATTTTCTTTTTCTGGTGCAGAAAGTAATTTTCATAATTTTTCTAAACATTTTTTTCAATATTTGCATAGCAAAATAATTTAGTAGAGACCTTATAAAGAATATGTGTGAATTTTTACAGAATTTTTCGAGCCTTAAAATCGCGTCGAACACGAATGACCCATGTGTGCCGTCCAAAGGTACCAAAAATAAGTGATGTTCGAAGGTTAAATGTCACAATGACTTCAAAATAATCATTAAAGTCATTTTTCAATCATTTCCGATTCATTTTAATGTCGTTCTGATGTTATCGTGACTTTTATTGTTCTACTTAGGTAAAGTAATATTATTAGCAATCATTAGCAATAATAGCAATTAAAAAAATCAAAACCTTTGTTTGTTATATTTTATTGAATTGTTTAAGATGGCTGTGGTATAGTGTGTGATTACGATATTGAATTAATCAAATAACGTGACTGTTGTACACAAATTTTTATAAAATTTATTGTAAAATATTTATTGTAAAATAGAGTTAGTTTTTTAAATAACATTTTGATTCAGTAAAAAATTATTAAGGAAATAAATACATCACACATCGTCGAAATTCATTATATAATAATCTGATAATAATATATATAAAATATATGTGTTCGTATAATAGATTTTTGCAAAATCAAGCCTCTCGAATTTTTTAAAAATATGATGTTGCAAATGGTAATACAGTAACCAATCAATTTATCGCTTTTCTGTAAGAGCGGGAGATTAATTGGCTAGGCATCACTGACGTTGGCCATTAAGGGCCGTGTACATGGAAATAGTAAGTTAATTATAAAAAAATTTATCAATCACTGTCGAACGTAAGAACAATCGACTATGGATGCTTCCCAACAAGACAGACACAATGAATCATTACATCCTTGTTGGTCTCCTACATTAAACAAGGATGAAACGATACACAGTGTCTGAATGTATTCTGTAATAGGCCTTCTACAATAAGTCGCAAGTCAGAACGTCAGAAGTCTTAACCAGTCTTAACAAAGTCGTTCAAGTTGACTATTGGCCAACTTCACCGATTATGACTTAAGATCGCTTAAAACTTCTGACTTGCGGCTTATTGTAGAAGGCCCATAACTCTTTACGTAAGTTTGGTTATCATTATAACGTCGTGCAGCTTTTTCATTATGTTAAAAAAGTTGCGTAACGATGTTATAACGATAACGAAACTTGCGTTAAAAGTTATACAGAATATAGCCTGGAATAACCCTGCAAGCCTTGTTATGTACTTGCTGAAAAGTACCCTATAGTTGGTGAATTTCTTACGGCTTACAATTTACTATTTCCATTGCACACAGACTTTCTAATGTCTGTTTCCACCAATGTAGATTAACTTTAATCTCAGTTCAACTTACTCTTCTTTTTCTAGTTCTAAAAATTAAAAAAAGACGAAGAGTAAGTTGAACCGAGATTAAAGTTAATCTACATTGATGGAAATAGGCAATAAAGACCTTTATTTTAAAAAACTTGTTCTTTTTTAACTAAACTTCTACCATTCTGCAGAAAAAAAAAGAAAAGAAATCGTGCAAGAAATTCAGCTCGTTCAGTTGAAAAGAACAGTCTTTTACATTGGCAGCAGTGCGATAATCGAACCAGCTGTTATCGTTGTAACGTTATATTTTAAAAGTACAATATGGCACAATACAGATCCCCCCTGCCGTTGCTCCAGCAGGAAAACATCGGAAAATGGGGAATTACCGATGTCGCCTTATTCCGCGGTAATATAACGGCTTTCGCAAATGTTAGCAGCGTGGAATAGCACAGAAAATACTTGTTACTTTTCATCGAGGGAGGCCGAGGCCGGCGTGAGCTTATTTGGAGCATACTTGTATCCTTGCAGACAAAATGTGAGGACTACCTAACCTCGTATTCACGGCGAGTAAATATACGGATACGTTTTTGGTAAGGCAGGTGATAAAACTTCGCCGAGGAAGTTAGCAGAGCGCAAAACGCTAGAAGCGACACGCAGAGTGTGAAACGGTTGTCGTTGATTTAACCTCGATTTAAACGACGAATTCTCCGCCGACCAACGTGTTACACGATGAACGTCGAGAACGTGGAGAATGATACCTTTGGATCGTACTGTGCCCTGTTGGTCGCCTTCAAGACCATGAAGGAACGTTGCCAGCAATTGCAGACACGATTGGCGACAGTGGAGGAAGAAAATATGTGTCTTAGGCTTGAATGTGGCAGAGACATGACTACAGCTGTTGTCAAAGTTGACAAAAGTGACAAATCTGCACTGCAAACTCTGCAGGTTCGTCAAGTCAATGGCTGCGTTTAGCAGAGAAAACAACTTTGCAATTGTTAGAAAATTCTTTAATATTATTGGTTTAGATCCAGTAAGGAACTTAAAAACAAGATTACTCATACTAAAAAATTTTACAACAATTGTGGAGCTGCTTTCTCTAATAAGCACAGCCAGTGGCATTCAGCAAAATATTTATTTTGCAACCCCGTTGAAAGTTTCTTTTTACTAAAATAAGACTATTTCTCTAAATTTAAAAGTATAATTCAATTAATACAACACATTTGATAAGAGTTGACTTGCTGAATTCAATCAATAGATAACAAATAATTGAAGATTTTATCCCTTAAATTGTGCTACAATACTCAAGGTACAATGCAGATTGTAAAAGAGATTTATTGTCAAGAATTTAAAATCTTTGAAAGTAACCTTTTCTATTCTTTTTCAAGTAGGCTCTTCTTCTCTATTTTGCCACAAGATTTGTTTGGTTCTTTTGGCTGTTTAGCTACATAATTAAGAACAATAAATATAAAAAACAATATTGTTTAAAAAGTACAGTAAGTTTTGTGTACTTATTTCCTTCAGTAATGTAAAACTAAAGAAGAGATGTAAAAATGAAGGATTAAGGAATATTTTTCATTGTTTCGCATTTGCATTTGTGATATTTATACACACTTAAGATACAGTCAATGCAATATTACAAATGCTTTGAAACATTTTTTGATTGGTTAATTGGTAAAATTCTTTCTTGTGGTCAATTAAACTGGTGGTTAATTAAATGCTTCAAAGCATTTGTAGTGAGCTTTTGACTGTATCCTTAATGATATATATTTAAAAATAATACATTTTTGGATTATAGGAAAAGATAGAGGAACTTACAAAACAAAAGGCTCAGCTGTCTCATCACATTTTCATGGTAGCAGCGGAAAATCGTCAGTTATGGAACAGGTTAACAAGATTAACTAAATCTAATAAATCATTAGGTAGCCAGTTAACGAAGATCTCGGATACGCTTAAACAGCATCCTGCTACACAGCCGTCTGACATTATTTCGTACAACTTTCGCGATGTGGCTAATTTCGATAAACATGATGCTAAGACGTATTTATTAACTACAGATGGTTGGTATCGATTTAAAATCAAACATACTGTACTCAATTTCTTATTACAATAAACAATTTTTGTTGTTGCAGGTGAAACAGAGCAAAGCCTAGAAGAAATATCTCTTCGACTAATAAATAGTATTATGTTAGAAAAGTCAGATCTCGAACAGCAATGTGCAGAGGTAAAGAAATAAAACTTATAGTCATTTAACATCTTTTATGCAATGTTTGTTGTTTCATGCAGATGATGGAGTTAAACGATAGTTCCGAATTAAATTTACAAAATGTTGGTTTCACGTATCCAGATGATTCTGACACAGATTCATTAGAGCAACTGAAACAGCATGAAATTCGATTATCTCAAACCAAGGATGCCTTACTTGGACAACAAACTAGGTTAAAGAGGGCCTTACAGAATCTTAAAAAAATGAGGAAAGGTAAGACTCAATCAAGTATAGTCAATTTAATCGATTATTATTCTTTTTTGTGGCATTTGTTGACACTAGAAACTGTATAACTGTTTGGCCATGAATGATTTTGTGTCAAAATCCTCAAGAAAGAAAGATATATATACTTTTTCTCTGATATATACTATCTTACTTTAATTTATACTGACTTATAAACTTTAACATATACTTCTCGTTCTATAATTTTAATTGAGATTATAGAGTGAACAGTATAAGTTGGAGGTGATAGTATAATATATATACAGGAAGAAAGTATATCTTTCTCTCTCATAGGATTTTTATAGAATTGCTTGTGACTAGACTCTAGTTGACACTATGAAAAATTTATAGAAATTAATTAATTTCAAATGTTTCAGGAATGATATGTAATAATTGTCAAAAAAATGCAAATAAAAAAATGTGCCAAACAGGCACACAATTTGATTCCGATGATAGTTTCAAAGAACATCGAGCTACTCAGACTAGTCCCACGTCTCCGAGTCTTTCTATGAAAAAATATCCTAATCTGAACGATAATATAGATGTTGATATCAATACATGCCCATTGTGCGGAATTGTTTATGAAAAGTCTATACCGTTTGCGGAATTCCATGAACATGTCTTAAGCCATTTTGCCAAGGAAATGTCTACAGAAGATTTCGAGCTAGTACATTGATTTTAGCATCAAAACTAGTGAATCATTCACACAAAATTTTCTTTAGATTTTAACATATATAAGGAAATTTATGGTGATTGGGAAATATTGAAATAGATAAAAGAAGCTCGATGATAGTAGTATAATTTATATAAACGAGACAATACTGTAAGTTGCAAAAGTATTTATTTTTGTATCAATAAACACAATCACGAAATAAAAATGAAATATTTTCCATCGCAAAAAGGATATTAGAAAAAAATGAATATTTACGTAATAAAATGTTTTAATATTTTTTTAATCTCCAAAAATTGCAGATATTAACCCATTTCTCAATGGATGTATTCTTCAGATTTGTAATCTAAGCTTTTTTGACTATAAAAGATTAAACCTGATTTCAAATGCACTTTACGAAAGATTGGTAGGTTTAACATCCTTTCTATCCGATGGTTCCTGTGATGTTGGTTCCAGCAAATTCTGATGGAACCATGAAGGCCTTTTCTTTGGCATCTCGACTATTCTTTGATTCTGAAATGAAACATATATTAAACTCACACATTTAACAAGTAAGCAAAATTAAATTCTATATCGATAATTCATATATTACTAATACCTTCCAAAAATCGTGTGTTTTAGAATCTTTTTCTCCATCATATAATACAATTACATTTTGTTCTACTGGACTCAGACCTAATTTCTTTTGAATAGCATCTTGCATTTCTTTAGTTTCGAGTTTTACTTTTTCGTAACAATGTCCTATATAACAAACAGATACATATGAACCATTGCAAATTTTCCTTACACATTCTTATATTCAAGAATATGTAGAAAACTACTTTATAATATTTTTTATAATCTATAACAGACCTATCCAATTTGAGCTCTGAAGCCAAAATGCAAAGCCATCGACTCAAAAAAATTTAATGTATGATTTTAGGGACTGTAAAATATTGATAAGTGTCACTCAGATGTATATCAATATCTTACATTCCCTGAAATCTTACATTGAATTTTTTGCGTCAATGGCTTCGCGTTTTGGCTCCAGAACTCAAATTGGATAGGTCTGATCCATGGCTGTGTTCTAAAATTCACTGCCAGTGCTGAAAATGTATAATATACGTAATGTAAACTATAGATTTTCAGCGCTGGCAGTGAATTTTAGAGAACACAGCTTATAATATCTTATTAGATGATATTTACCACATAGACGGCCAGCTTCGTAATGATGACCACAATTCACACACAGTAATATATTCGTTTTTGCAATAGGTGGCTTCCATATATATTTCTCTACTCCAAATCTTCTGTTATATCTTGCTTCCAGAGTACGTCTTTTTTTTGGGACCGCCCATAAAAAGCCATTGTCGAAAATTTCTTTTAGACTACTGAAATGGTTTCCAGATTTCGGTTCATTCAAGAAACCGTTGCAATCGACTGTACATAGTGATCCTATAACAGAAAATTGAAAAGCTTTTTAAATTTCAATAAGTGTGTCAACAAAATTTATTCCATTTAACGCGTATTACTAAAAATTTTTAATATCGATGCGTAAAGTTAATTTTTTAAACTTTAGTTGAGGTTAGGAAATATAGTAAAAGGTAACTTATTCATATTAACTTTTAAAATTGATTTACTAAGAATATGTGTTTATATGTATTAATTTTCAATTACCTGGAGGAAAACCGCGACCAAAAATGATTTGAATTGCTTGTTCAAATTTTCGAATAGCTAAACTTAACCTATTCATTGTGCTACCAATTATTGTACTAGTCAAAATCAGTGATCACGAGTTCCGACTGGTTCCGACAGCATCGCTGTTTACACAGTAGACTTAAAGATAATAGCAGAATATTGACAATATCGACTGTCAATATAAATTTCTCGACCGTCGATGTCCCAGATCTACCGCTTTATCTGCTAAGATTCCTGAAGTCATTTTGAAATGAAAATTTTTATAAATTTTGTTTTCACAATATACCACCAATTATAAATGCTTATAATACGTTTTATCCAGGATACATCCTGATAATGTCCTTAGTATGTTCAAAGGACATATGGACGTTCTTTGGACATCCTCAGGACGTCCCCTGGAGGTCTGTTGTTAGGGAATTCAAAAACTATTATAGTCTCGACAATTTGATATTTATAGAATTTTCATCATAAAATAACTTCATGAATCTACCATTAGCAAATAGGGCGGTATATATGCCCGTATATTTAATAATCAGACCTTATTATATTTAAGGCTTCCTTAAATTTATTTTCAGGTACTCTACGAATTATTTTATCAACATATACAAAGCATCACAAGATGAATTTAAAGAAGCCTTAAATATTAGGTTTGATTATAATGAATACGGGAATTACTTAGACAATGAAAGGAATAAAGAACAAGGAGAATATAGATTTCAAACCTATCAGAAGCTGTATGTATATTCCATTATATTTGGTTTCCGGTTAGTTAAAATTTATTATTTCTTATTGCTTTTTTTTATTGTAGTGACCCACACAGCACAAAGAGTTCAAAAAGAATTTAGTAGTGATATGTTATCAATTCTGAATTTATTTTCAGATGTAAAAAGACAAGGTTGGGAAATAACGTGTTACTTATTGTAACGACGTTATATTTTCGTTCCTTTTTTTGGTAACGATATTTATCTACGCCGTTACTTTTTTTTATTAGTAACAAAAAAGTAACGATGTTACGTTTTCTTTAGTAACGAATAACTAAATTAGTAACTCCGTTACTCTTTTATCGTTATTTTTTTATAGATCATGGCCCCGTCACGGACAATAAGATTATAGGTACTAAATAAACCAAAAACTTTTAGCCTATTTTTTGTTTTATTCACTATTCTGGCTTTAGCATAAGAACACTAAAAATTAAAATATCTATTATATAATAAAATATCGTAAAAGTAAACATAAGTATATAAAATACTAATAAAAAATAAAAATGTTCAAAGATAAATATCTTTCTAAATATTTTATATTTAATTTATATTCTGTCTTAGAAGCCTGTTTCAACATTAAAAAAAAGTGTAATGATGCAGAAGACAGGCTTATTCGTTAACTGTGAAACTAGAGTCATTCGATGCATTTTTGCACGAAACCTGAATAGTCATCAGTTTTAACCATTAATATCTCACTTCGCCGGGCAGAGCCACTTATTTTTCTGCCAAATTTGTTCATTTTGTGCAAACGCGCGTTGAATCGCCCTAATTTCATCAAAATCGATGAGTAGACCCGTCTCCTGCATAATTAGAAAAAAAGTAACGAAAAGTAACGATTTTTTATCGTTACTTTTAAGTAACGGTAACGCGTAACTTTTCAGAATCGATAACGAGTAACGGTAACGAGTTACTTTTTACCGCAAATAACAGTAACGGTAATGCGTTTCTTTTAAAAAGTAACTTTCCAACCCTGCAAAAAGAATTCTTTTTCTGAAAAGAATTCTTGTTGCATCTCTGAAAATAAGCTTAGAATTGATAACATATTACTGAATTCTTTTTGAACTCTTTCGAACTCTATGCTCATATTAATAGTTACCCAGATATATAGCCAAGTCTATAGGGAACAGATTTTTTTAATGTCTGCTACACACTATGCCAACAAAATAGCAACAGAATTGTTACAGAATTAGATGTACATAATACTGTTGACAGACTGTTAGAAAAAACGTAACAAAATCGGCAGGATCTGCTCAGTTTCTACCAACAATTTGCCTTCACATTATGTCGACAGACAATGTTAACAGAACACAAGCCTGATGCGAACGCAGATTGCCGTTGTTTTCTGCTCGAACTTGCTGACAGTCTGCTAGAAGATTGCTGACATTTTGCTATCTGGCTAAATCTTATACTTAAGGCTTCCTTAAATTATATTTTAGATATTTTTAGATGCTCAGTAGCCAATAAAATAATTCGTAGAGCATCTGAAGATAAATTTAAGGAAGCCTTAAATATATAAAATCTATTACATGAATACAAACACTAATTATACATATTTATGATGCATTGATATCGTATGTTTTTAAAATTGGACTTAAGTAACTTTCCGGAGATGGACGGAGATGTTACTTTTATCGTTACTTTTGTGCTATTACTTTTTAAAACAAACGATTTGGTAATGACAATTTTTTTATGCCGATAGTTATAACTAGTTGAAAGCTAAGGCTGGGAACGTCATTTTTTAAAAGTAACATTTCCAATCTTATTTTTAATTAATTATCGTAATTATGTCATAAAAAATTGCAACGTCATTACTAAATCGTTGTTTTAAAAAGTAACGTAAAATAAGTAACTTCCCATTCCTGCTTTTTTCCATAATCCGCAAAGAATCGAATCCAGATGTTATCAATAAAAACATATACAGTTTTAAATAGAAATCAATATTGTCGTATTGATATTTAATATTTGTATACATATTTACTAATAATAATGATAATATAAGAATAAAAATAAGTTATAAAATTTTTTATACTATTTTAACCTTGGCTAATCGGCTGAATTTTAGCAGCCATGTGAAGTTATCTGCTTTTTGTATAATTCCTAAGTAGCACAGCAGCGTTTACAAAGCATTTACAAAGCGCTAAAAAAAGCAATTACATGCGATATATTTTTTAGCGCTTTGTTGACGCTTATTTGTAAGAGCTCTGTGTGCTACTCGGGTTATCTCAGTGTCAATATGACTGCATTCAGTAAGAAAGCAGTTCATTTGCAATTGCAATGTTGTAAAATTCTTTAACATGATTAGTTTATACATTCAGATCCAGCGAGGAAAATGTGCACTGCAGCCAGTATGTACCATTTAAACTGTGATTTTCTACGTGATAAACGTAGAAAGCGTTTAAAGCGCGTCTGCGACAAACATCACTGGCGATGTTTCCCACGACGCGCATGCGGCTTGCAGTGGTTCACAAAAGGCAGATAGCGGATCATCTAAAGTCGCGGAGCCGCTCTCATTCGTGGCCAGCGATCGCAATGGGACGGGACGGACGGGACGCAAGACGGGGAGAAGGTCGGCCGTCGGTTGGAGGAGGGGACGCGATTTTTCGAAGTGTTGGTGGGATCGAGTGATAGACGTCGTAAGAGGTACGGGCTCCTCGGGCAGTAGTGAGTCCCCTCACTATAGCCCTCGCGATGGCATGTATAGGATCGAGTAGGCTTTGTGCTCATGTGGAGAGACTGTGCCAGTTCGGACATTTCGCCCAATTACGGAGGAAAGTTTCGACTACGACATGTGTGAAATCGCGGTCGGTGCTCTCGTCGCGGACGAGCGGCACGCTCCTCCAACACTGCCAGGTACGTTAGCACGGCTTCTTTCACCCCTGTCTTCAACCCCGCCGCGATTTCACCCCGTTCAAATTGTCCCGCCTGGAGCGCGTCGTCCTGTTAGCCGACGGTCCGTCAGACGCGACGCGTCCGAGAAAACGTGTTGTCCCATTCAATTTTCCACGATTTTCGCGTTTCCTTTCGACCGTTCCGCCAACCTAACCTACACGCGGCAGTGACACCTAACCCCCGCCGTTTTATCACACGTCTCCGACGCGAGATGACAGCTGATCGAGACGGCGTGATCGAGTGGATCGTTTCGAAATTTCTTGAGGTACAGTCATCCGAGATTCGGGGAGGCTCGTTTAAATGATAACTCTGCGAGAACTCGGTAAAAAAATTACATAATATGTAGGACAGATACTAGTCGCACGAAACCCGGTTCTCCGGATCTTTACGAGGGAGATCGCGAGGTAGAACTTGTCGTCACGAAATAAAGTGTCAGAATCTCATCTTTCGTACATAAAATTCGTTAGTATGTGACATGTCGCAAGATGTTTGAAGCAGCACTATCTTGCTCCGGTATACGCCTGTCAGCTGGTCCTAGCAGACGCCGTATGATTCCTAGCAGACGCCGTATGAATCGTCTGCTAGTGACGTACTGAGATGTCAAATGAGCTACAATTTCTTGGCAAACGTAAAATTAAATCGAACGAGGATCGCATGTAACCGCTATAATTTATGCGCGTTTTTTCTCGATGTCCTTATGATAAGAGTTTTGGATAAAAAGCATAAGAAATCTCTGTGCGATTTTAGAGATTGCATTGACTACGTGAGCGAGTCGGCCGTACGCATGCGCGTAATAGAATTCGAACGCGCCAAAGTCCACAGGGAATTGAATGTGTATCTTGAAGTGAGACGAAAATTACAAAAGTGACTAAATTTCAATGGAATAATTATAATTTCATTGATCAAATGATCAATACCTATTAAATTTCCTCACTTTTGTAATTTTTACTTTGTTCTGAGATACACAGTCGACCCGCTGCATATCTTGAAATGAAATAAAAAGTATAAAAGCAAAAAAATTATAAAATTATAAAAATTATAAAATTTATGATGAACCGAGAGAAATGATAAAGGATGAGGAGAATGTACTAGAAAAATTGATTACCCAGGAAAAAATGTTCCATATTTAATTATATATAATTATATAAAAACTGCTATATTTTATATACAATTATATATAATTATATAAAAAATATGTAATATATATAACATTTTTTCCCAGGTAAGCAAATGTATATCGCAACTACTGTCAGGTGCCAAGATATTGTTATTTATTTCAACGTCTTTTGAGAGTATTTTTAAAAGACAGTAGTTTTTAACTCTTACTTTTGAATTCTCTTTTATATGAAGAGGAAGAGTTTATATAAGTTTTGGGGGGATTTTCACTTTGCCTATTTTAAATAAAGAATTATTGTTGTTTGTGTGTGTGTGTGTGTGTGTGTGTGTTTAGATCATCTACATATTTAATAAAAAGTAAGTTTTCTGTTTATTTGTTTACATTTATTTATTTTTTTATTAATTTAAAGTAGATATAATACATATGCATACTCACTAGCTAAAAAGGTTGCAACATTTTTTTCAATGAGTTTCAGAACTTTGCTCGTAAAACGATTGAGCGTAAATGGTTAAATCCACAAGCAAGAATAATGAGGCTGCATTTCGAAACTAATTGAAAAAAATGTGTGCGACCTTTTAACTGATGAGTGTGCATATATATTATGATATTCTACTTTAAATTAATAAAAAAAATAAAGGAATATAAATAAATAAACAGAAAACTTGTCTTTTATTACATATAGTAGAATGATCGAAACGATGCTTTAGATTCTTTATTTAAAATAGAATTGGAAATTTTTATATATATTAATATTGATCAATTTTTAAGTTGTGTAAAAGATCGAAAATGAAGACTACTTTCTTTGCTAATTAAATTTCAATGCAGCAAATGAGTAACAAAGTTCTATTCTTTGTTTTATTTTAAATAAACGTTACTTGAAGATAGAAATAAAACGGAATTTTTGTGAAAAGTAGTGATTTCTAACGAATAATGATGCTCTCAACATTATTCTTTGTAGAGATTTACTTTTATATTTTTTTAAAGATTAGTAGGGTAAAATCAGGGATTATGGCATAGGCTACTAATATGGAATAGTGGCTTATTTTTTAAACAAAGTATTGCAATCTGGCGGCAATCGCTGAAAGTTATTGTAACTGTTACCAAACGTATCATAACAAGCAATGAACTCGGTCCGACCAACCGTTTTGCTAAAATTAACATTTATTTATTTTCGTTACGTCTGAAGATCCGGCAGCTTTTTCTAAAAAGTGCAGTTCTCACAAACTGAAGGTAAGTTTTTTTAGTGCTTATATTGCACAGACGTTTTTAATAATGTTGCATGAACAATATTATGCAGATTAATTGCTATTTCAAACTTGTTTATTGCTACGGAAAGACTTTATTTGTCATATGATACGGAAAGACTTTATTTGCCATGCAGGTGTGGAATACATCGAGGGTTGAGAATATGGAATAGATTCCAATGATGTTAACAATTTATTCGTGATCAGATTAGGTTAGGTTAGATGACAGCATGTATTCTATATCAGTTTATTTGCAATTTATCAGCTTATTTGCGATTTTGTATTTGTCTGTGCATAATAACGTTCGTAATGATGCTATTATATTTCTGTGTCATTGTATAATAAAAATTGAACAGTTTTTTATTTTTCTTGATCAGTTTAAATAAATAATCAAATTTGGATTTCATTTATTGTGTTATTTATTACTATGGTCAAAATTTCATCGGTATTCCATATTACATCCCATTTTTTAGACCTCCCCATTTTCTCACTTTTGACTTTTTTGTTAATATTGACGTTGGACTTAAATTTTGGTGACTTTCATTTATTGGATGTTGTAACTAATATATTCCTCAAGAGTTCTGTGTAAATTTAAAGTCTTCATATGTATTTATATCGGAACAATGTTAATTTAAAAAAAGCTATTCCATAATCCCTGCTTTTACTACGTTACTTCTCTATATTTTTGTGAACTAAAATTAACCTTATTGCATTATTTTAACTTATTTCCTATTTAAAATTTTTTCGATTTCGATTATATCGAATTCAATTTACATATCAACGTTTTCGATTCGTTGCGTCTCATGGTGTCGTATGTGGGACACAGAAGTGTCTCTTTGAAAATCCTCAAAATTAAATAAAAAATACCCACCCTTAATATCTCTTCCAGTTGCGAATCTGTCGATATATTCTCGAGAAATCACAGTTGCGATTTTCGAGCCGTGAGCGTACGTGCGAAATCGCGACTTTCTCGGATCGAAAGCGCCGTGGAAGAAGCGGGGCTTCGAAATTTCGCCGTCGATGATCGGCCGCAAAGTCGTCAATCTTGGGGCGGCTGATCGTATTATGCAAGACTTAGGTCATACTGCGATCGAGCTGTCCTCGCGATGCGACGCGACGTTTCGCGTTTCGCCGTGCTTCTTTTTTTCTGAGGATCTGACGACGACAGTCAATATTATTGAATCGGCGAATACGACGACCTGTCGCGTCACGAATTTCAAGCCGTACTAAGCCACGTAAGTAGGCTAACAGGCTGCGCGAGAGATACTTCTTGGAGTACGCCGGCATTCGCGCTCTTGACTTTCTCGGCTTGACCAGCTATAGCACGCGTCTCCACACCTGTTTTTACCGCGGGATACCGTGACTTTTACTCCTCTTGTGGAAGCGACACTTTCCGATCGAGAGTGAAAACCACAGAAATCGAAACCTCATACATATATGCGTACTTTTGAAAATACATCTGACGTAAACGTGTGAGAGTGCTCAATTTACTTCTGATTCACTTGATAGATTAGGTTCTCTGTATTTAAAAGAATTTTGTTAAGAAATAAAATATATGTTTCCAATATATGTATATAGATTACCCGAAATTCTTGAATCAATATAACACACCAAGAAAGTTACCGAAAAGGTAAATTTAAAAAAATATTTCTTCTTTATCATTCCGAGCATAGTAGTTTTTAAATAAAAGTTTTTAACTGGCCAATTACAGATTATGACGCGTTAATCGTAATCAATAGTTGATCAATTTAAAAAATTTATCTCAAAAACTATTATTCAGAATGACAAACATTTTTTAAAACTTAGTTTTCTACACTTCGACAAATGATAAATACTTTTATAATTTATTTTTTCAAGGATTTTTTTGCTATGGATTTTGATTCGCGAATTTTAGAAGACTCTGTATAAAGTAGAAATAATTAATCAGCATTTACCATTGAATTACGTAGAAAATTTGTAATATTTTATATATGATATTATATTTTCATTGATTATCTCATAATTTTTTTTATTATTACAACGTATCTCTCTCTTTCTCTTTCTCTCAATATATGTTTTTCTATATTTATATATAATATTATATATAAAGAGATAATATTATATTAATATATAAGAATACGTTTATGAGTATGTTTTATGTACTTGTAAATATATAGTTTATATTTTGAAGATTAGAATTAAAAATTTACAAAAAATTAAAACATCAATATTATAATAGTTTTAAAATTTTAAACATTTTCTGTAGATATTATTTAGCAGGGCACGCATAGAACTATTTGAAGTGGGATCTGATTGGAATTATTTCGAATTTCATAGAAAATACAATAGGAATCTAAGGAATAATTGAACAATTCTAATCGAAATGCATTTGTGTATAAGTAGATCCTTCATTGTGTCTTATTTTTATTGTCACGATGTTATAACGAAATCGAGTCTTTTGCATCATATATTAAATTTTATAGTTCTGAATAAACGATGAAACTGTGTTTTAATTATCAGGTGCAAGGAATTAATGTGTTGATTCTTTTAATGTACTATCATATGTCTCAACATGGAATCACAAGTAAACATAAATAAAAATATTCTTGTTTTGTATTAAC